CTATTATTGTATACTCCCTCGGCAATTTTCATTCTTTTAAAAAACTATTTTTAGAAATTATAAATATATGAATTTTAAAATACATGAAACTGGGTTTATGCATTCTTTTTTCTGTTTAACAGTATCCTTTAATTGTGCTAAACCCTCCATTAATTCGCACGACCGTTACGCCCTGCCAATACCCCAAATAATGGACTATTCCGTTTTGATCACATGGAAAGAAGGGGAAAAGATACTCCTTGATTTCAGTAAGAAAATGAAAGAAAGTTAGTAAGGTAGAAACAGAGATAATCTGACTGGGCTGATAAGAACAGATACTACACAATGATCTCACCAAAATAAAACAAACTGAGAAGCAACAGTGACCATTTTACAGACGCATAGTATAGAACAACAGAGACCGAGTACAAAAATCGCCAAAAATACAGTTATCATAAATAGAATAACTGTGTGCCGAATTAGTATTAAGAGAAATGTTTGTAAGGCTGTAAGGATTTGGCTACTTATTATTATTTCATTTTCTTTCTTTTTTTTCAATTTCTCTATTTTTTGTAATTGCTAAAGTTTTGTTCCTTCGCACGACCATTACGCCCTGCCAATACCTCATAGATAACAGACTATTCCGTTTTGATCACGTCGAAACGTAAAAAGACGATTTCAGTGAGAAAATGAAAGAAGAGAAAATAGAATTGTTTAACGTCTCCTGCCAGTACCTCACAAATAATGGACTAGTCTGTTTTGATTGTTTGGAATAGACACTACTTGGCTTCAGTGAGAAAAAAAAGAAGGGAAGAAACAAAGAAAGAAGAGCTTAACCTCTGTTTCAGTGAAATGGAAAAAGTTGTCAATTTCAAATCTTTTTCATTTGTATCCCCTTACTTCTTAAAATAACAACCAGCATTCACCTTTATGATTGTTATTGCAATATTTTATTAAGGTTGTTAAGCTCAAATATTTAATGTTATATCAGAATTTCAACAGATATTTTATTGCTGTTGAATTTGCCATGAGTTTATCAAATCATTAATTGAATAATTAAGTTTCCTCCAAATATTGTAATAGGAAAATCGTGAAATTTTAAACATTTTTGTCGATTCTAGAAAAAAATTACTTGCAACATATTAATCAAAGAAATAACTTAAAATTGCATTTTTTCAAAATCAGTAACTCATGTTTGCTTGTATCTCTGAGATGAGGTATTATGATTACTTGAATTATTTACATTATTCGGACTGTTATCCTCATGGGCATATTCACAACATTTCGGCCATTGTACACTCCAGCCTTCTTCAGGTGATTGAAATTTCAAACTGAACCCTTTATTTCATCCACTGGAGTAGATTGTTCTAGTTCCACGTGCCATTCCTCTTCCGGATGACCCAGTTGTTTCCCTTTAACTCAACTCTCCAAGTATTTTGGTTCACCACTGCTGTGGCCTGGTATTGAACCTGAAGAAGGCCAGAGCGTACAATGGCCGAAATGTGAATATCACAATGAAGATAAGGATAACAGTCTAAATAATGTAAATAATGCTAGCTACTCATGGTTAAGTGTTTATTCAAATTTCCTTCTTCACAGACAATTTTATAATTGTGTAAATAAACAATCTAATCAAATAGTGTTTCATTCTTTTGTTGTAAATTCTCGAGGAAAAAGAGAATGGATAAATCCAGTTTCATGTACATCAGTTTTATTAAAATTCTTAAAATAGCTTTCCCGCTGTCATAAGGGGGCCTCTGTGCTTTGTCTCTAAATACTTTCCTGGCAACTGTTCAGATAAGCACTTCATTATGGTACCTAAACTTGATGAATTTAAGCGCAGAAAGATCTCAATATACAGTTGAGCTCGATAGCATTAGAATGTACGGGGTTATATTTCTTTTCTTGCACTTTTCACTTACGGAACTCTTACAATTCCATGCTTCCCAGCCAACATTAATCTTCAAAACTTTGAATGCAATATCAATTGCTATCTACTCTCCTCCTGATGACTCTTCTCGTTCTGCTCAGTTGTAAAAAAGTTTTGTTTTTTTTTTTTTTTTAATATCCTTGGTTTCATTTGGTTTATGGCATATCAACCTCAATAGGTTATTTAATACTGACAAAATTTTTATTGCTGTTAATATTTTATTTTGTCAAAAATCTATTTCTGGCAACATTTTTCCTTCAAAAATGTATAGCTGGTAATATGTTTTTTTTTTTTTTTTCAAAAATGTATTGCTGGTATAATTTATTTTTTAAAAACACTTGGTAATTTTTTTTTTTTTTTTTCTCTCTCTCTCTCCAAAAATGTACTGCTGGTAATAGTTTTATTTTGTTAAAAAATTTATTGCTGGTAATAATTTTTAAAAATATTTCTGGTATTAAAACTTATTTTTACACTTTTATAGTGTTTTTACCCCAGTTTGGGGGTTAACTATTTGCCCATAGCTGGGACCCTAACAGGTGCTACCACCCCAGGTCAGGGTTGACCTGAGAACACCAGCAATTAAGAGGTGATTCCATGCTCCCCAAAACCTCCTAATCTAAGGCCTTGCTGCTGGACATAGTTGATTGTCTTACCCAGGACGCAGATGTAGTTTATCGTTATACCCAAGATGGTTAAATTTCTTTGTTCATAGACATTGTTATAAATTAATTAAAAAAAAAAAAAAAAAAAAAAAAAAATTGTTTTTACAATTATTTCTTTACAATATAGTATACCATATTAAACAGCAGTTATTTTGATTAACTGCATTACTTAGAATGATTACTTTACTTATATAAATTAAAATAAGTCTTAATTGGATTGTAAAAATATTTATAGTTTTTTGGGTTTTTTATATAGTATATAAATATTGTGCTACAGTTGGTTCATATATTTTTATAAACTTATAAATATAAAATTATTCTTGTAAATAAATAATCTAATAAAATAGGGTTTCATCCCGTTGTTGTCAATTCTCAAGGAAAAAAAAAAAAAAAAAAAAATGGAATGCATAAATCCAGTTTCATATGTTTGGTTTTATTAAAATTCTAAAAATCTCTTTAAGACAATAGAAATTGCAGAGGGAATATTACAGTAATAATTTGACATACTGTTTCCTTTCCTTTTTGGGGGTGGAGCTATGTTTGTTAAACCATCTCAAATTGACTGATGTCATAATGATTTCACTGTAGAAGATCACTCCACAGCTGGAAGCCAATAATAATAATAATAATTCATAAAAATCATGTGCTCATAGATCAATCCCAAAGTCAAGACCCCCACCACATTGCAACAAGAAGACCACTATCATGCCCTGGAGAACCAGATCATTTTTGTATGCCCTTCTGATCTGGACATGCTACACAAAGTCCAATCATTTCATAGCAAGTGAAGCACAAAGCATACAAGTCCCAACTAGATGGGTTGGCTCATAAAAAAAGAAAGAAAAAAAAAAAAAAAGAAAAAGAAAATAAGGAAAAGTTGAAGGGGGAGAGAAATCATTTTTCCTTAGGCTGTGACATTTGTTAGAATTGAAAAATAGATTTTTGGGGTTTTTTTATCAATTTAGAATAATGGAGATCCTGTTTATCATATTTGGTACATTTCAAATTGATCCCTGACTTATTATGAGTTATTGGTCTTACGCGTTTTGTATACAAAAAAAATTTTTTTTTCTGAGGGTTACAAAAAATATTTTAAATAAAGCACACACACATCTGTTTTACTGCACTGAGCACTGTGTTGTCTACAACATTGATTAAATTGTTATTTGCTCATCTGTATGTGTACATAATCACTCACATACACACATATATATATATATATATATATATATATATGGTTGATCGTATCTGTATTTAGATCATTTTAACCTCTCACATTATATATACATATTTATTACACACAAACACATCTTGACGAGTGCATAGTGATTCCTGGAGGTCCCATCTACTAAATTCTGGAATCAAGATGCTGAAAGTAACAAAATTTTATTATATATATATATATATATATATATATATATATATATATATATAAATAAAAGTAAATAAAAAAGAAAAATTTTTAAAAATGTTGATGTTAACACTTTTAAAAATAAAATTTGTAAATAACAGATAAAGTTATGGCACAGTAATAAACAGCCCCCCACGTCACAGTCACGGCTAATTTCTAACTGGCCTATTTGGTTTATAGTCAACATGTTAAAAGTGTCCAAAAATACATAAGGGTTTTTTTTTCTTTTTAAACAGAAAAGTAATAATAAAAGATTGTAAACAAATAAAAAAAAAGTTATTAATGAATTAAACAGTAATACAAAACAAATACAAGTAAAAAAAATTTACCAACATTTTCTCTATAAATCAATTTTCTTTTGACCTTTGCTTTTTTTTTTTAAAAAACATTCTACAATATTTTTTTTTTGAACTTCATTGAATGAAAACTTCTAAGCTGCCATTCACATTTGTTTACATTACATCAGCCTGTTAAAATTCAGCTCATGTGAAGTATATTATATTCTTAGGTCAATAGCTACATAAAAGTTAGGGATCAATTTTTTACACTATATCAATATAATGAACAGGACCCCCACCCTTCTAGATGAGAAAAAAAAAAAAAAAAAAAAAAAAAAAAATATATATATATATATATATATATATATATATATATATATATTTCAATTGTGTCAAGTGGAACAGCCTAAGAAAAAAATCTAAAGAAAACTGAAGTACAAAAATTGTTACCCAAAAGATTTTTTCCTTATTTTTTTTTTTTCTACAAGTGGGACCAGTCTATTTAAGTAGACCCCAATTTGAAATCATTTTTAAGAGAAAAAAAAAAAGAAAAAAATCAAACAAAAAGAAAGGTGTAAAGACAACAAACAAAAAAAAGAATATTTTTTAAATTCATGTCTTTTTTTTTTTTTTCTTTTCTTTTTTTTTTTTACCCCCATTTTGTAACATTACAAAAATAGAACAAAAGCTAGATTTGATAGATTAAAAACTAAAAAGGTCCATATAAGCTGCTGAAATTGTCATGTTTTCTTTGCTTTGGCTGCTGCTGCAGTCTGGGCCATTTTCTTAGCACGTACCATCTCAACCAGCTCCTGAAAAGGGGGAAAAAAAAAACAAATGGTGACAATCATGGAGCAGTCAATTCTTATGATAGAGACGAACATTTGCCATTAAAGCAATGTGAAACCCAGTCTTTGTTATTCCTAAAACAATAAAGATTACAAAGAAGTACTTAAAAAGTTCTCAGCCTGACTGGGTGGGAGGTGGGTGAAGATTTTTGGTCTTTTAAGATTTGTGTAAGTGGATTAGGCTACCAAGAACATTTCAACATACCTCAGATATCTACACAAAAAAAAAAAATGGGGGGGGGGGGATAAAATATATATATATATATATATATATATATATATATATATATATGATTTATTTTCTCTCGTCTACTTCGACAACTACCTGACAACCTCATTCAGTATCTGTGTCGTATATGACACTTCAATCCTGCTAGTGACCTACATAACAGTCCACATATTGTGTAACAGCGGGGGATTTCAGAACAGAGCCTTGGGAATATTTGCTGACACTTTTCACTGTCATCTTTCATTTCTTAGCCAGTCAACACAACTGATTTCAAAACTTTTGATACAACTATGGCACAAATATCACAAGTTATTTCTATCCAGAGCAACTCACTCAAAGTCAGTATAAGGCACAGCGACTTGTCTTTATACCCAAGCTGACATATATATCTCACTTAAAAGTTATTTTTAGGAGATACCCATATTTGAGTAGACACTTCGTTTGTTTTGTTTTTTTTTTTTAAAAAACAATACATTTATCATCATCTACTGGCCCATATATTCGAGAAAGGTGGGGGGGGGCAATCTGAATTTTGTAAGGATAGAGCATGGCAGGAGGGGTAATTTCTGCTGTGGTAAAAAGAAATGATGGAGCATATGAGTTCCACTTAAGATCTGCAGTGAATTTGAGTACCAACCGGCATTTGTTAAGAGCCTCAGGCACAACCAATCATTATCTGTGATGAAGAAACATTAGTAGCTGAGTTTTGGAGGCATTAAATGACACATGTCAGTTTTTTCCACCAGTGAGCAGTTAGAGCTAGATCAGAGGAGAAATCAGCTGCCAGTCTGTGATCATCGAGATTTTTGGAGGTGCTCCTATAAGCCATGGTATCATCTACATACATATTTACTAATAATCAGAGAAGTATCCTGGGCTGATTGTTAATATAAAAGCAGAAAGAGAGCAGGACTGGGAACAGCGCCTTGAACGATATCTATATTAAAAAATAACAGCCTAAAGATCAGAACAAGTGATGCAATATTTTTGTTATATATATATATTATATATGTTTATTCAAATTTAGGTAATCCGTATGGATAGACCTGAGGAGGATGATATCCAGAGAGCTCAATGTAAGATTCAGAGCATATATGTTTGAATAAAAGACAGACCACGTTAAGATTCCATGTAATAAGCTATTTCACCATAACCCCTTTAACAGGGTTCTGGATCATCAGACTTTACTTCCAAAAGCTGAAATGAAGAATGAAAAAAAAATTCATAGTTTTTTACGGACCTCATCAAGTATACATAAAGTTAACGAAGTGAGGAAGTGAGGTGGGAGAGAGGATGTGAGTGTGTCATATGTATCATTTTAGTTTTCTATTTTAACCCCCAGTGTGTCGGCTGGATGTTGCTCAAATTTAACGCGTCTCGTCTCTAGATAAAGGTGGTTAAGGGGTGAGCGATAAGGGCTACATTGAGGAAGGCGTTATAACAGCCCCAATAAATTATCCGACAGGTTTCATTCAAATTCCTAGATGCTGTCAGTTCGCGTTACTTTAACGTGCATATTTGGGAGGTTAAGGTTTGATAAATATCTAAAATTTTAAAAACAATCTACGAAGAAATTAATTTGAAATTCAGTGGAGTTTTGGGTATTTCCTATGAAGCAGTCGATTGGAAAGATCTATAGACAGAACATTGAAAGAGTAATCCAATTTATATTTAGTACTTTTTTTTCCACTAAACTTTTATCTTATAGCTTGTTAGGTTGACATTTATTCGTTTGATTTTGTTCATTTAAGTGAACCTGTGATTTTTTTGATTTTGTTCATTAAGTAAACTCGTGGTTGTTTTAGGCCCTTCTTTTATATTTTCTTATCTACACATGTGTCAACCCCCTATTTGTAACCACATACCTATATCGTCTTATATGTCTATGAGTTCCTATATACACCTACACACACATTTGCGATTGAAACAATACATGTATATTTCCATCTTTACATATATACCCCTGCAGAGAGAACGCACAGAAACATGTCTCCATGTATATTTATACTTACATATACACACAAGGACATCTGCATCCCCATATATACAATACGTATATATATATATATCTACACATCCATACGTATACACATATACACATCCATACACACACCCATATGGATCGATTTATTTTCCAAATGTGGCCAACACATTTATTCAGTTAAAAGTAAAATAACATTCATCCTTGATAATGTCTGAAAGTATAGCCGAAAGCACTTGGACATATAAAACATTTGGACAATTTTTATATCATTTATGTCCTGAAAAGAAAAGAATTATATGAACAGATGAAAAATCATATAAAAATTTAGCCACAGCACCTGGTCAATCATTTTTAACGAAACCTGCATAAAAGAGAGGTCGCTGCCCAAATTATATATATATATATATATATACAAGGTTGATACAGATTGAATAAAATTCCAATAACCAAAAAACACTATTCTTAAGAGTGCTCAATACAGAGTAGAGCAAATAATATTTATTCAAAATTGTAACATATGCATGTCATAAATTCACTACAAAAATAGCTATTTTGTTTCAACACTTCTGGTGTCTTCTCAAGTGATGATGTATACTTTGAAAAGCCACCAGAAGTGTTAAAACAAAATGGCTATTTTTGTAGTGATTTCATGACATGCATGTTATAATTATGTGTGTGTATATATATATATTTTGCCTGATAACGTAACTGCCCAGGTTTCAATTCTTGGTAGTGGATGCGCACTACTGATGAGTCCCAAATATAGGACGAAAAGGCCGTCCAGTGTTTTTTGCATTCTGTTGAGGTTTCTTCTAGACTCAATGTATTACTTAATTATAATTATACTAATAGTAATACTCATTTGGAAAAAAAAACCTTGGATAGCACAACTTGTAGATATGTCAAAACAAATCAGTACCCAAGAAAAAAATTGGAAAAGAACTAAAAACATCAGAACAGGACGAAATAAATCGTCCAGTACCTTAAGTCTTTAGTTCAAAGAAAAAAACCCAAGCAAGTATTAAGACTAAAACGTAGAGTGCTCAATACACTAAGTAGGGCGGGAATAACTGAAATAAATCTTAGAGCCAAGAAAACCTACCTAGGTTTCACTGGCTGCTTTAGGATTTATTTTAATTGTATAATATATATTATATATATATATATATATATATATATATATATATATATATATATATATATATATATATATATATATAATATATATATATATATATATATATATATATATATATATATATATATATATATATATATATATATATATATATATATATATATATATATATATATATATATATATATATATATATATATATATATATATATATATATATATATAATATATATATATATACACACACACACATTTTGATCTTTAGGCTGGTTGATATTAATGATGGTGTCGTGTCCTCCAAGGTTTTGTTAACATTTTTATCCTCTGCTTTTATGTTAACAGGAACATTCTCAAATCTTGAGTTGTTTCCCCCCACCTCCTAAAATTGTTCTCAATATGTCAAAGTTTAGATATCATTTTCTCAATAGTCCCATTAATAATCTCTAAAATCCATACAGCCAATCAGATAAACAAAACTTGCAACTTACACTCTCAGATAGTATTATGAAAAGTCCCAAAACTTCAATATTTCCAGCTGATGCAGAAATTGCTCAATGAAAGTAGAAAATGATAAAGACACTAGAAACTCAACAAGACCCCTGAGGCTCTAAAAGCCATTTTTGCCTGCATATAGGGCAGGAGAGGATACAGTGTTGATGCAAGAGTGTTGCAGTATCTTGCAGTGTCTAAACAAGGCTTACCTTATATCTCTTGATGCAATCTTTCTTACTGCGAGAAGGAATGTTGGCAGCTATTTTGTCCCATCGGTCAGCCACATCAGCAGGGTAGGTCTTCAAAGACTGCTCCAAGAGTTTCTGCTCCTCTGATGTCCAGGGGGCTGGATTGGTACCTTGTTCCCGTACCTGCTGTTCACCTACACCTTTAAAAAAAAAAAAAAAAAAAAAAAATTCCCTTATCAAACAAACATTTCAGTATTCAGGGGTTGAAAAATTAAGTGCCTTACCATAGGATAATGATGAATATGGTAATCAAACCGACTGCTATTACTGTGGAATGCATTTGATCCTTGCTAGATATCCACATTTTTTTTTCCAATGATGTTCACCCTGCACAAGGCCCGAGAGCCACTCGAGATAGAGAGTTACAAAGTAAGAGGCACAGTATACATGGATATGTGGGGACATTAACAGTTAACCCTAGAACAGGTTAAGAATGGAGTGATCATGGAAGTATCCTCTTGGGAGTCAGTTCTACAAAGTAACAGTTCATGGGGAAAAAGCTGCTTGAATGGAACTTACATTGCAGCAATGGAATATTAAGGGAATGAGAATGGTTCACTACAATGGGCGTGTCATGGTGGGTCTTAGAATTGGTGGAACTAAGGAATTCGTCTGAGCACTTTCCATGGGAATAGCAATAGAGCAGCGAGAGGCCTGCAACATTTTGTCTATGAGGAAGGGTTTAAAGGGCTGAAAATAATTTGTCACCCACAAAGACACAGAGACACTCAAGGTACTCAAGGCAAGGGGCTTCCCCGAGAGAGTACCCATTCATTGTAATTGGTGAAAATTCTTGGTTCATTTAGTAATGATGGAATGTCACTAATTTGGTTTTTGAGGCATTGAATGCCATACAGGGAACCAACCATTTTTCCTGCATCTTTAGCAATGGATCGGATGTAGGAGTTCCACTTGAGGTTCAAGGCACAAGGCCTCCCTGAGGGAAGATATATTCATCGCAATTGGTGAAAGTTCTGGGTCCAATCAGTCATCATGGAATGTTGCTAGTTTGGTTTTTGAGGCATTGAATGTGGCCACTCCTCACTGAGCTTGATGAGAAGAGAGATCAGCTGCCAAACTCTGGTCATCTAAAGTTCTGGGAGGTACACTGGATTGGATCATTTTGTTGAATGACATTATTAATACCAGATATTGGTTATTAAGGTAGACATAGAACCAGTTTGCAGCAGTACCAAAATGCCACACGCAGGGCTGGTTAGCAATGTGCTTCAAAATGCCACACACAGACCCAGTTCACAACGAGTCAGACACACTGCCGGTCCGACCCAGCCTAATAGTGGCAGAAATCAGTCCAGTTTGCTACTGACTCTCAGTTATTGCTATTAAACACTCCTATACAAATTAAAAAGGCTTAGTTATAGTTTAATGATAAACCACTATAGTTTTGGAAGGGATACATACATAAGGGTTAGTTGGGGATATATGGCTATGTATATAGACACACACATGCCTAGGTTTGACATGACTAGCCAACTGATTTGTTACAGCCTCTCCAAGTAAGGGTTAAAGTGATGTGTTAAAAGTCAATAATATATTACCCAGTTTCTCACCTGACTCAAACACTGGGAACTCATCTTCTAGCATTACCTATTACAACCAATTTGCCATGTTTTACTTTTACTCCACTACGGAAGGTCATGTCTGTGTATTCTTAGCTCCAGCCGACATGGCTAATGTTATAATATAGAACCAGGTAGTCTAACCAGCCATTACTACTATGAAGTGAGTTTGATTCTTGCTTTGTACCCGCCTTTGAAGCCTTGTGTCAGACTTAGATACTTAACTGTGACATAATAGCGAATGAGCTCAATTGTTGGAAAATTTCTTTAAAAATCCTGGATCCAAACAGTTAAATTAACCAAAGAATGTTTTGTATTAAAGGAAGGAAAAAAAAAAAAAAAAACACAACAGCAGAGAGAAATGCATCTGTAATAAAAAAAAGACCAATGACAATATGAGGTTTTGAGGCAACACGTTTCCAATCCAATTCACACATCTTTACTTTCTGAGAGACAAGATTGAGCTGTTCTTCCCTTCCCTAAATAGGAAACGGGGAACTTACTTTCATAACGTTGGCTGATGTGTCCCTCAGCAGGTGTAGCACTTGATCCCTTTACATGTTGCTTCTCGAATTTTTCAAATGCTTTCTTCTGAGCCTCTTCTTTCAGATAAAAATCTGAAAAAAAGATAAAAAAAATTTGTATTAATTAAAGACAACAGCAGCAGAAAGTTAATGAGCCACAATAATTACTAAACCAATTCTTAGAATAATTACCAAACAATAATGGCAATTGGTTACCACGCCATGGTATAATGATCAAAAAGCTGAATGAGCTAGATTTGTGAATTTACAACGTATCAACCCTGTTGGGTTATTTAATGTAAAAATCTGTTATTTATGACCTTTGAATCTACAGGCAAACATTGATTTGGTTTAAACTGGAGTCTATAAAATCCAAAGTAATGTGTTTTTTTCCCACCCCAGAAGGACTGCTGTTGCAATCTAGGATAATTTAAATCAACAGCAAAATAAGCACAAAAGCAATTCTAGATCAGTTAAATTGAACATCTAAATACACCAGATGTCAACATTTAAAGCTGAACATCCCTTTATTTTTAATGTTTTGATGTAAAATGATAACTGACTTTTTTTATTACTCTTCCTCGATAATGATTTTTAATTATTACTGTTATGTGTCTGAAGGAGGTTCCTTTCTGAATGAAATGCAACATTAATACATTTTTCCATCTCACATATACAAACACATTCTTTTTTATTTTAACCATTTCACACCCAAGCAAGGCAATAAAGGCACTAAGATGCAAGGAGTAACTGAGTGTGAAAGAATCCAAGAAAAAAAAAAAAATGAATTAATTAAGGAGACAGAAGATGATGAGTAAGATTCAAATTTAAATTCTGGAAGGTCAAGGTTAACTGGAAATCCAGAAGCCAGAAGAAAGTTCCACAAGAGAAGAAACTGTTAGCATAGAACTTACAGTTACATCTAGCCATTTTAACGACGATGCCTAGCTGCCAATGCAGTACTGCACTTAAATTTGTAAAGTCAAGGTACTATATATTTTAACATCACAGAATTAACATATAATCATATGAATCAAGCCCTACCCACATTTCTCCCCCACACAAAACAGACATGCTTGCAGATTTAAGTTTTCACACATATATACACTCTTGCACAAATATACACTTCACACACACACACACACACACACACACACACTCCCAAAAAACTAAAAGATAACATACACTTAACACGCACACATCCCCTTCCCAGCAACCAATTTAATTGTCAAAATGACCAAGAAGTGAATTCTGCGACTCAGGAATCTCCAAGACTTTATCTTAAAAACAACTTGAAAGAGGCAGTTTAACTAATACAAGTACTAACCAAAATTAATAAAAAAACAAAAAAAACAAATGAAAGCTACAGATAAATTTCACTTTCATCAGAAAGTCATTCACTCCTGTAGTTTACTACTATTAACAAGCAGGGATCTTTTACTTTCCAAATACAGCCAATACATTATGGCCGTGTTCATAGTTCATACTGTTGAGCATTGGCTTTTTCTTTTTTATTAATATTCTTCCATTATTTTTACCCTTTTTTTTCTTGTAAAACATGTAGATAAGGCCATTATATAAAGAGGAATTGCTGCCCAAATACACAATTATATAGATACTAGCCTAGAAGCTGCCCTTCAGGCAAAATTTAGGTTAGCTTCTTCAGAGGGGTTTTGGGCTTTCAGTGTTTTACCTTCAGCATCCTACATATGTAAAAGTCATAAGAATTTGAAAATATTAAAGTTATATCTTTGTTTGACAGCTTAATTCGACAAACTTTCCTCATATACGCAACTGATCTCTGTAATTTGTTTGCATTTATTTTGCACTCAATTTTTCTTTTCTTTTAAAATCCCCATTCTTTATGATCCCTTCACAAAGTTACACTTTAAGTCATTAGGGAACAAGAACCATGTAATATTTGGAATACATCTCAGAAAAGGAAAAAACATGAACAACGTACCATTCACCGCTTAAGTTTTATTTACAGTTTAATAAGACAGTATCAATTAATTATTAATAGAGAATTTTTAAACCTTTCACTCTGTTTGATATTCAAAATTTAACTTTAAATAAGTTATTCAATTTTTTAATTGTGTGTCACTACAGTAGTTACTACCCATTACTTCAGGTTGTTTATGATCCCTGAGATTAAAAAAAAAACTGATGGACAGACACCCATACACTACAATTTTATATATATATATATATATATATATATATATATATATATATATATATATATATTACATACACATACATACATATTCTAACATGGGATGTCTGTGAATAATGTATTTGCATCCAAGATGCAGGTCTCTCTCAAATGAAGAAACCATTTTGGACGATTGCCTTACCATTTTTCTGCAATTCTTTGGCTTTTTTTAAAACGTCCCGAGCAGTTTTCTTGCTGCCTTCAACATGTTGAATGATGAAATTGGATATCACCTCCCACCTACAAATATAGGCAAAATATATGAAAGCATGGACAGAGAGGGAAAGAGGCTTCATTGTTTGTCATCAAAAGTCCTGCCTAAAGTGCCACCAATAAAAAGTCTGTTTTAACTTATATGTGACTGTTCCAAAAATCAGGAAAATTGTTCAAAACATAGGGAAAAGTGTGAATATATACATATATTCATCACAAGGAGGATGCTTGCCTTGAATATTTATTACAACTCAAGTTCACCCCAGACTTCAACTTCTATCTATTGCTAAAAACACTGAAAAGAAAAAAAAAAGAAAAAAAAAAAAGAAAAAAAAGTTGATTCATTGTACTGCTTTAGTAAGTATCTGATTCCTCCTGGCATGCTCTAACTTTACAAGGGCCAGAGCAGACCAAAAATGGTGTAAAAACAAAAATCTACAATGATCAAATTGTTCATTTATTTTTGGTTGGCAGTGGGGGTGTCAGGGAATCTACAATGGTCAAATAAATTGGAGTGCTAAAAACATAAGTCACCAGTAAACCTAGAACTGTCAAATAAATTGGTCATTTATTTGAGGTCATGGATGGGGTGGGGAATAAAAAAATTAGTCATTTATTTGGGATAATGTGATGGTGGGAGGCTAAAGAAGTGTCAAATAACAAAAACTAAAAACTGTCAAATAAATTGGACATTTAATTTTGATCATGTGGAGAGGGCTAAAAAAGTGACACTTTTTAAAATTTTGTATGACAACTCAAGTTTTTCAGAAAAGCGTCACTAACTCTGTGGCCAAGACATGGCACATTGGGTGGGAGGGTCTTGGTTGGTTTTTTGTCTAGAAACCATTCTGGGCCCTATCTCTTCATATTTCTCCAACTTATGCCAGGAAATTTAGGGTAAATTTATCAGGATGATGACAATGCACCATTGGTTTTTACAACATTGTGCGTCTTAGATCTGTGTCTGGATTGTGTGTCATTTAGTTTTTTGACAGAGTGAAAGCTGTAAACACTTCTCAGAAAGCAGATATGGAAATAAAAATGTCTGCAAAGTTAATGAATAGTAACAAATATCACAAGGATTTGAGGTGATTAACACAGTAAGAAAGGCAAGGAACTTTATAAAATTTGGTCAAGAAACTCCCAGAATGTCTGCAAATTTTGTCAGGCCAAATAATTCGTCACCCTGCAATTAATCTATCTCATGGCATATCAGATCCTCACCTTCATTTTCCCTGCAAAGTAATGGCTGAAAAACATCTGAAATTTATATGGTGATTTGCTAAGTTTGGCTTAGATGTGGCACAAGACTGAAAGCATGGGGCAGCCAGTAAGGATCGAACTCACTCAGTTATGAGCCATGAGTGATACACACTTAGGCGATCATGTATCTTTTGATACACAACTGACAAGGCAGATTTTTTCCCCCCACAGTAGGTTGCAATTTCTTCCTGCAGTAGACCAGTTGCCACCAAAGGCTATAGAACCTGGTCTGTCCTGTTATTTACCCATAGCTGGGGGGAGAAGAAGAGGATTCATACCTTTCCCAAGGGTATTAGCACATAAGTGAATGTAATGGATCAAACTGGAATTCGAACTTGGCTCTCCGATTCCTCAATTGGTCGTAATTGTTCTAGTGAGAAGCTTGCTAAGTATTACACCATATCAAGATGCACATCCTGGGACATATACATAATTATAGAATCTGGTAAGATAACGTTCATCAAAACAGCATATACTACCAATAGTTGTATCTACCCTAACTCCATAATACTCTAACATTAAATGTAAAAAAGGGACGTTTATATACAAAGTTGTGGGATGTGATAAACCAATATTTATCCAGATGCCATAGTCTACCAATACTTGTACCTAACTAACATAATACTGTAAAATTAACTCTAAACTCTTACATGGAGTCCTATATGCCACAAATATGGTAGCTGTTACACCAATTAAAAATATTTCTGTACACTTCTTTCTTATGTCCTTTGCGAGACCTATTTAGAAATATTTTGGCTCGAATGCTTACCGATCTCGGGTTCCAGCTGGGAAGAGGTTGACGGCAGAGACCATGAATTGCATTTCCTGTTCTGACCAATCCTTGCTGACATGAGAGCTTTCACTGACCGACTGTTTTTGGAGGGCTTCTAATTGTTGCATTTTTTCCTTTTCCATTTTTTCTTTTAATTCCTTCACCTGACAAAACAAACATTGAACATTACATTATCTGCAACCAGTAGCACAAAAAAAAAAAAAAAAATTTATTAAAAATTCACTTTGCAACTAGTGTTTATAAAAGGGGTGAAGATATAGGAAGCTAAAACGAATATATTTTTCTACAAAAATGTATTCCTTCCCCTCACTCAATGTAGTTTTTTTTTTGTGAGCTTCATTTCAGAAACCAGTTCATTTTCAAGGAGAGGTTGATTGATCATTTTTTTTTTTACAGTTTATCAACTCTTTATAGCTATTTAAATCCAAAAAATGATTTTGGATTGTAAGAATAATTCGTTTTTTTTTTTTTTTTTTGTAAATGAATACCAACCCACAATTGGCCAATCATAGTGGGTACTATAAAAAAATATAAATCATCACCCTTTGGTAGATAGTTCCTACTGATAATAGGTCAGATCCATTTCATTTGATAATGGGTATGACCCAAAATTAGGCGTAAAACAGAATTTGGCTGCCAAGAAGAACATGAAGCAAAGAGACATGTTTCTGCCCACTTCCAGAACAGGCAATGATGACTACAAGCTAACCTAAATGATGCAAGGATAAAGCAGTTAATAGAAGAAGAATATGAACACCATTCATATAAGTGTTTAATTTATTTCAGACAACCATGTATGTGGATTTTGTCCTCTGATGCCTTGACTTTTAACCACTAAAAGAATACATTTTTAACAATCCTCTATTCTCAATTTCTTTACAATGTTCAATTGCCTCACTTTGTTCATCAAACTACAACTCAGTTTGGGGAGCCGTTAAATTTCCCACAGTATGCCTACACACCTGAAGGCATGGTCAATCAAAAGCATGAGGTTTCTACAACAGGAGTGAAAAGGTCCTGGATATGGAGAACACATTACATAGAAAAATATCAATTTTTAAATATGAATATTAGTTATGACTATCAAACCATACAAAAACCTACAATCACTGGGAAATGGAGACGAAAGTAGAGTTTCAAATATAGAACTCAGTCATTGGAGTTATTTGAAACAAATACCTAAAGAAAAGGCACATGATAAATCAAAGGTATCAGATTCCTCTCCATTTAATACACCTATAATTTGACAGAGAATATGGGAGAAGGGAGAAACATTTATAATCTTAACTGTATCCATTCTTGTACACTAAACAGGAAAAAAAATTTGAGGCCACCCTACATTTCTCAAAACAAACAAACAAACCCTTAATATCAGCCCTAAGAACTTTGGAAGACCAGTTAAAATGGCTAGGACACCTACCTTTACTTAGGACTCTGTAAAGCAATGAAAGATGAAATTCAATGTTCATCTGCTGAGATGGTGTATGGCACCACACTGAGACCCCCTAGAGAGTTTTGCCTTCAGCCCCAATGAAAGGTGCTGAATATAACTTCCTTTGTTGACCAGTATTTTAATGCATGTTAAAGTGTGTGTGTGTGTGTGTGAATGTTTTAACTCACAACATTGACAAACTTACATCACATTATAGAGAAACTCTTAAGCAAAAATCCTTATGTTGTCTTTAAGGATGGACAGAGGTTTCAGGAATGCAGTTCAAGAACATAAATGTTGATGAGAAGGCTTCATTTTTCAATGATCTTTGTAGTTATTTTTAAATTTAAAAATTTTTTTTTTTAATTTCTATTTGAGAAAATTATCCACTATTTTCCCTCACAAGTTTCATTTAAATAAATAAACCCATTTCATAAATATATATAATTAAGAATTAACGATATGTTCCTTTTTTCTAGATGATCATTTACAATGTAACAAATCTCACAACAGAATAGAACTGACAAAATTACATTGGCTTCATATTTAACTTCAATTCCAGGGGCAATAACTCTGTAATACTAACGATATCTAAGGGAGATAATTAATTTGCTTTCCTCTTAAGTTGAAAAATGTTTATATGCGAACTGCGAACAAAAATCCAATGAAGCGAATTATAACAGAAAAGAATGCATGTTAAAATGTCAAAGGAAGAAAAAAAAAAAAAAAACCTATAAAGTAAGAATTTTCAAACTCTTAACATTCCAGAATGTATTTTGATGGGAATATAAGAATTTTCTCAAAGCAAATGAGAAGTAATTGAATTTAAATTGTATTTAACTAAAATCAAAAGGTTTTATTCAAATTCTAAATGTAGTTTTCTAAAATGTCATTTAAAAGGATAATGTTAAATAGCTTTTTAAAATAATAAAAATTGCCCTGGGAGTATTATGGTAATAGCGGTGTCAAGAGAAAAAAAAATGTCCTTTTGACAGGGCATGGATTGCAGTGACATGTGTTAAAATTTGTCAATAGCTCAACAACATTGAACAGTTTAGGTGTTGAACATCATAAGTTTATTATGGGACTGATTTCATCAATTGGCACCACCTGTGACATAGCACACATCAAGTCAGTAGTTAAGCTCTTGCCAAACACTAGCATGTCTCCAGTAACATTATCCAGTGTGGAAGTGATTTTATCAATGCTAGCAGGAAGAGAGGGGTACATAGATCAATCCCAATCATATCCCCATAAAAAGGAATCACAGAGACAGATCTGGTGACCGTGGCAGCCATTTCATCAGAAAACTGTCTTCACCTCGCCCACGGCCAATCCATCTCTCTGGCAGATTCTCATGGAGATAACAAAAATAAAATATTAAATGTAAAATCTTGATCTGTTTCTATACATGGTGAAAATTTGAGGTTACTTCACAAGAATTGCAAAAATTATTGGCCTGCAAAATGATGCCAATTTTTTGGAACACCTGGTATAATAATCAGTCCTACAGGTTTTGATGACGACTTGCAGACGGGCCGGGGTGGGGGGACGACTTCCAGAGTGTCCAAACTTAGCTGCAGACAATCAGATTTCATCAACATAACATAAAATCTATTATTTGCATTTGATCTAATATCATGATCTTTGTTATTGTTGTTATTGCAATATTTCAATTGTTGAGCCCTGTGGACTTCAGGTGTGTTGATCTGAGTAACCCTCGGGAAATTTCAAATTAAACCCTTTATTTAATCTACAGGGGTAGATTGTTCTCATTCCACTGTTTATGTCTAGGGATATCTTATCTTGTACTTTATTAGTAGTGCTCAATAATTACTAGCCCAAGATTTACTTGACCAACCACTGTCATGTTGTGATACAAGGTCACTTATTAATATGGGGACCCAAATGTTTCCACTTGGGATGCTGGTCTAAGATGGTCATGCCACTGCTATGTAACAGATGTCATATAATGGTGGAGTGGAAAGCAAGGGAAGAGAGAAGGTTTCTGGTACGGAAGAGATACTACATCTACAGCATCCACCCCAACAGGAAAAACCTCATTCTCCTCCTCTGCCAATCCTCTCAGGATAATCCAGAAGGAAAGTCCCTCAATTATTACTCGCTCTCTTTCCATCTGGACCAGGGATCGAACTCACTATTACTATGCTAATAAATAGCCTAGTGGATTAAATTCATGAATTTGGTGGCATAGTCATTGTGAGTTCTATCCCTGAGCCAGGCAATGCTGACTTTGGCTCATTTGAAACAGGATGAACAATAACTGGGCAATACTAAAAATAACTAGACACGATATCCCTAGACATGGACAACTGTACAAAAACAATCTATCTTCATAGATTAAAATAAAGGGTTCAGTTCAAAATTTCACAAAGTTTACTTGGAATGGCAGACACCTAAAGAGGTTTGAATAATAATCATTTTAAATCTTCCTTGTTTATCCTTTGCATTTAAGATTTTCTGTATTACACACAAGGAAATATGGCTCTGAAAACATTAAAAGAGAAATCCATATAGAGTTGACAAAATTTAAAATTGTTCCAACAGACATTCAATTTCTTTTTTTTTTTTTTTTTTTAAATCTTGACTTACCTGTTGTAGGAAAGCTTTTTTAGCTTGCTCCTTATCTCCAGAGGTGAGAGCTTCGTTTAAAGATTGTAAACTGCAAGAAAGAATGTACAGAAGGCATTAGTTTGTATCACATAAGACAAGCCAAGAATTAACAAGGTGAGCAAAATAAAGCAAGCAAAATTCTTGAATTTTATTACTTCTTAGCTTAAAAGCTGCCCTATCAGGTGGCATTTAAGCTAGCTCCTGCAGAGGGCTTTTGATTGAGTCTTCATCACAATAGTTAGGGAGAAGTAAATGGCATAGGCAACAATAAACTACAGAACTCAAAATTGATCACTGCATTTAAGTATTGCATTAATATTTATGCTTACCTTTTAAAAGTTCAATGATAATTCTTCTGCCACCACTTAATTTAATGACAGATTGATGTACATAGGTCCTTACTTTCTGTACAAACAATTATTTTTATTTCATGGGGGCTTTCACTTGATTTTGCAATTAATTTCGATTATTTAAATTTATTTACAAGTTATAAAAATTGTTACCATACAAAAAACTTTTGAAAAAAAAAAGTCATGGTAAAAAAAATTTAAAAAAATAAAAAAAACAATCGCAGTAATGAAAACTTGGGAATCCATCATTTCCAGATTGTGGTCCGGATTCCGGCCCAGAATGTTTTTAATTTGCTCTCAGAGTCAGTCTGATTCCAAAATGGTATATGCCCTCTAAGAGTAAAGTTGGAAACACAGACAATTTTATTTTGAAACACTGTAATTTGAGAACAGTAATTTTTTTTTCATTTGAAATAAGCTATTGAAAGAGAGTTGAAAAAGTGAGACAGTGACCCACTGACATTTGCATTTATTATATAGATAATATAACAGTGTTAATTGCTTATCTTACTCATAAAATATCAAAAGTTTTTCTTGCATTTTCTTGATATCATCAATACTTCCTGATTTCCACTGACCAGCCACGGATTACCTAACATTGCATTCCAATTCTCAATCTCATTGATGTACACCAAAAGCTGGGAAAGGGCCCACTGCATGCTCACAAGGTAACACAATAAAAAACAAATAGGTGATATTTGGGACAACTGCTATGTTGGTGTAACAGCTCATCTCTTCCTCCTACCAACTCCTTACCCATCTACTCATCCCAATTTCGTGGCTGGCAATACAAATGAAAAGCACAAGAACCACATGACAGACAGTCACCTTGTCAGCTGGGGCTGTAGAATATGCTGACAGCACCTCTGCAATTAGGTCACCTGTTTGCCATGTGTCGCAATCCATAATGCCCGAGGACAAAAACCTGGAGGCTGAGCAGTCCATGACTCTGGTATAAGTAGCAATGTGACAAACAACACTCCGCTTTGGTCCTTACTTGGGCTATATGGGCAGTCAGAGAGACCTGATCTGGTCAATCAGCTGGTCATATCAAACCCTAACATCTATATAATTAAGCCCAAAGTTATTTCAGCATTAAATAACCCATAGAAGTTGATATGCCACTAAACAAAACCAATCAAACCAAACTGGACCTGTCCTGGGTAAGACAAACTACATCCGCATCCAGGGTAAGACAATAAACTACATCCAACAACAAGGCTTCTGATCAAGAGGTTTTGAGGAGTGTGGAACCACCTCTTAATTGCTGGTGTTCTCAGCTCCACTCTGACCCAGGGTGGTAACACTTGTTAAGGTTCCAGCTATGGGCAAATAGGTAACCCCCAAACAAGGATCAAAACACTATGAATGTGTAAAAATAGGTTTTAATACCAGCAATACATTTTTGGAGAAAAAATTAGCAGCAATACATTTTTGGGGGGGAACAAAAAAATATTAGCAGCAATACATTTTTGGAAAAAAATATTAACATAAAAAAAAAAAAAATCTTGTTGCCATTAAATAACACATTGATGTTGATATGCCATAAAACAAACCAAACTCAACTGGACCTGTCTGTCTCCCTCTAAGGTTGAACCAGAACTCTCCCAAATTCCAAGGGGGGATTTTTAATATAGATCAATACACAGATATATCCTATTTCCAATTTTGTTGCCAACTTCCTGACATATTTCAATTAAATTTTCACTAAAATTATAGCTTATAAATATAGTTTAGATATAAGAGGAAAAGAAGGCATCTGTTTAAACTGACAGCAAGATTAGGGGTTAAACTGATGCCGTATTTACATTCATTTTTTTTTTTCAGATATTGTGACCAATTTGATTAAAATTTCTATTTTCTTGATTTCAGATAAAAACCCAGAAATTTCCCAATATATTTCATTGAAATTTTCACTTTTCAATATTACATTTTATAATCATAGTTTAAATAGATGGAAAAAAGAAAACATCAAAACATGGATACAGGAAGAAAACAAACAAACACATCCCCACCCCCTGCAAACAAATTCTTTTTGTATTCTTAAAAGACAAAAATGTTAGGAATCTCAAGATATATATAGTAGGAGCACCCAGCCAGATATGGCAGACATATTTAATTCAGAGAAGAATGGTAGATTTATAAATGTGCAAAATGGATTCTGGCAAGATTTGCTTTGGTTTACAGTATATCAACCTCAATGGGTTATTTAATGCTGACACCTTTTTTTCCTTTCCTGGTAATATTTTATTTTGTCAAAAATCTATTTCTGGTAATATTATTTTAAAAAATGTATTGCTTGTAATATTTTTTCTTCAAAAATTTATTTCTGGTAATAATTTTTTTACAAAGTAGTTCTGGTATTAAAACCTATTTTTACACTTTCACAATGCTTTTTACCTCAGTTTCGAAGTTAACTATTTGCCCATAGCTGGGACCCTCACAGGTGCCACCACCTCGGGTCAGGGTGGACCTGGGAACACCAGCATTAAGAGGTGGTTCCACACTCTTCAAAACCTCCTGTTCAGAGGCCTTGCTGTGGACCTAGTTCATCGTCTTACCCTGGCCGCGGATGTAGTTTATTGTCATACCCAGGACGGGATTCTGGCAAAAAAAATTTTCAGGCATGAGACCCTGAAGCAACTTTCCCAACAGCAGACCTAGCAACCGATTGAATATTATCATTCCACCAATGAATAAAATCGACAGAATGATTTCAAGCTTCATAGTTAATAATCGATTCTATTTAATACTAAATAGTGGGTCTACTCCAGCTACAAGTTGAGAGCTTTTGTAATGTGGTTAAAATAAAGACAATTTCCATTCAAAATTCTTTTACCATACAGATGTAGAAGTTTATCTGCTTATGTAAATGCACCATCTGCATATGTAGAATTAATTTGCAAAACTAGATGCAATATTAAACCTCCTCAGAAGAGCATAAGTCTAAAATTTGCAATGACAGAATATCCAGAGAGAGAAGACAGTGCCAAAGTTCAGGTTAAACCTGGTAAATAAAGACAGAAAGGAGTCAGGGTGTGTTTTAATTCATCTACATTTCATTTCCCATAATAAAGTATCATATACAAACCTTCATTTTAAGAAAAAAAATGAAAAAAAAAAAAAAAAAAAAAATACATAAATATTTTTTTTCCTAGAAAGCTGATTTATTCAAACTTAGTGTTTCCAGTTACATGCATTGCTTACATTATCCTACATACTTTGGTGTAGAAACAAAATCCATCATAATTTGCACTTACCTTGTAACACTCAACATTTCTGCAAGTTTCTCAACTTCTTGCATGTGATTCAGTCGTTCGTTATCATTTGAAGAAAAATAATCTGCATCCTGTACAGAAAAAATACAAAATTTATTAATTTTCATTTTTGCTTAGAATATTTGAGTAGGTACCCACTTTACACTAATAAACAAAAAAACTGGTGGACACAAAGTAAGGATCCCATTTAGCAATATAATTACATTGTAAATTGAACACCCTATCTAAAATTTTAGAGATTTTCAGATGGCTGATTTTTTTTCATTTTTTGAAACTAGATTCAGCTTTTTATTCCCGCTATTCCAACTGCGCTCGTCTTGACCTCTTATTCCAGCTATTACGACTGGGCTCGACTCAACCTCTTACTCCCACTATTATGACTGGGCTCATCTAGACTTCTTATTCCCGCTATTCCAACTGAACTTGTCTCAACATTTTCTTTTCATTATTCTGACCAGTCAACTTTTTATTTCATTTTCTAGTTCCACCCTTTTGTCTTACTAAGAGGGCTGTCTTCAAATATTTGATTGCTTAAATGCTTACATGTAGCCAAAAGATATTCCCATATTGATGCTTGGAGTAAAAAACAAACAAAAAGTTAGGAAGAAAATTTAAAAAAGATCTATAACAGTGGACTTAAGAAATATAATTTAATGAAAAACAGCTGATCTCAAAAATGACCTACAATCTGTTGTTAACCAGGGCAAGAAATAGCTTGTTTATTTTGACAATGCCAAAAAACACAACTGCTCTCTTTTACTAGTCTTATAGAACCTATTATGCCTTCCATCAGCATAGGCGATGGTAATCTCTATGATTGTGTCTTATCAGGCTAATGTTTTCCGCTGACATAAAGCAGAATGATTATATTGAATCAATTGCTAAGTCTGTTGCTAAGAAAGTTAGTTCACTGTGTCATGCAAGACAATTTTTCTTGCCAGAATCTTACACATTTATAAGTCTACCATCCATCCATGCAGTGAATATTTGGCAATGTATTTAAAGATTCTTAGTAAAATACAAAGAATCTGTAATGTTATCAGTCCTGACCTGGCATCTTGGCCTCAGTTACTTTCCTACTGCCATAACATACCTTCGCTGTGCCTTTTCTATAAATATTTTCATGATAATTGTTCTGATGTGTTTTCCTCTTTGGTACCTAGATTTACAAGTTTAAGTGCAGCACTAGAGGTCTCATCATTTTACAGTTGAAATGGCTAGATGCAACCATAAATTCTATGCTAACAGTTTCATCTCTTGCACTTCTTGAACTCTCTTCTGGTTTCTCAGTCAACTTTAATCATCAAAAATTTTAATTCAATATCAATCATTATCTTCAGTCTTCATAATTCCTGTTCTTCTATTGTTCCTTAATAATCTTTAATTTTCTCATATTCTCTCATCCTCAATAACCCCTTGCATCTTAGTAGGTTTATTGCCTTGATCCGAGTAAAATGCTTTTGGGTCAATGAATACCAAGTATTTCCAATATGAAAATGGTAAATTACCATATTACTATATATATTTTCAGATAGTTTGACTGGCTTCAAATAAAATAATTTAACTTACCTTCACAGTCATCCTTAAAATTTTTTTCTCTTTCTTGAGAACTTTCCGCAGAGCATCTTTTTCTTTCTTTGCTGCAGCAGCCTGGGATACATGTGCAAAAAAAAAACAAAAAACAAAAACAATATTGACATTCAAAAATTACAACCCTGACAATACAAAAGGTAGTAAAATAAAAGAACCCATTCCAACAACAGTTATAATAAAAAAAGTGCCATATTCTACCAATTTAATTGGAATTTTGGTTTTTATATCCTTCCTACAAGAATCATCTTTCCTGATTGTTAAGCTAAAAATTAAAACATGCAATAAATTGAATACTAAGTTTCATATCAATTTTTTTTCTTCTTTTTACTCATGTGTAATGGAAGTGCAGGTGGTGTAACTGTTAGTGGTGCATAAAGAGAAATTGTCAAGTCAGGTTCAAATTCCAGTAGTTTTTTCCATTCACTTTTGTACAGATATCCTCAGCAAAGGTATGTATCCATCTCTTTTACCCTCAGCTATGGGTTAAATAGTAGGACAGACTGGGCTCATCAGCATTAGTTGGCCACCAGTCTAAGAGAAGGAAAACTCAATTCCCAAAACAAGGTAGATGGAATTCGTCAATGTGAAAACATGGTCATCTAAGAGAAGGAGAACCGATAGAAAGCCAACCCTTCCTTAGAGTACAGCGATTGGGTGCGAGACCAATTACCCAACACTGTGGAATAATTCTGTTATAGAAATCTCATCAAGGTCTCAGCACATATGTAATAATTTACAGATTTGATGGTCATTATTAAAAATTATATCATCAAACTTTCAAAGTTAAAAAGCAACCTATAACAATGTAATAATAGCAACACATTGTCCAATAGTCATTGATCTTTTAGCATTATTAGACCAACCGCAGTCGGGGTCGCAGAGTTACTGTGAACTCCACGATCCTTTCATTAGCTGCATATATTATGTGCTTAACAAGGGCTCTCTGCAGTTTTTGTTTTGTACTATTTAACCCATATTTGTGAGCAAGCGAATGTAACAAACTTAAATGAAATTTGAAAATGTCCCTGCAATTTCTAATTCCAAATCACTATCCATTACACCACCCGCACACCCAAGCTACAGCACCTGGTATCCCTATTTAAATATTGGCCAGACTCAATGTTGCTTAACTTTGGTGATCGTACAGGAACCAATGTTTCAACGTGATGTGGCCATAAGCCTCAGTGAGGTGTTGGATAAATATCTGTAAATATGAACAAATATCAGTCAGTTAGGTGCCATGCATGATACATGCTTAGGTGATCACTTATCTTTCGATACATCACTAACAAAGGCAGATTTATTTCCCCGCAGTAGGTTGCCATTTCTTTCTGTGGTAGACCAGTTGCCATCTATGGCTATAGAACCCGGTCTGTCCTGCTATTTACCCATAGCTGAGGGGAGAAGAAGAGGATTCATACCTTTCCCAAGGGTATTGGCACATAAGTGAATGTAATGGATTCAACTGGAATTCAAACTTGGTTCTCCGATTTCTCAATCCGAGTCGCTATCCATTACTCCACCGTGCCTCCTTAAACAAATATAGTAAGTAAAAAACTTACGGCAATTCGAGCTGCCTCTTCTTCTGCTTCCTTCTTCTTTCGTTCTTCTTCAAGGGCTTCTTGTCTTATCTATTAAAAAAAAAAAAAAAAAAAAAAAAGCTTTAAAAGGCTGAACAGAAAAAAAATAATCTCAATTACAAGACTCCATACAAAAATAAGACAGACTTCACAAAGAATTTTGATCCGAAATTTTAATTGTATAATATTCAATATATGAGATTAACCACTATTGACATTCAAAACTACTTCAAACAAAAGGTTAGGAAGGAAACCCCCATCAATACTGGAAAGAGCAATAACAGTTACTGGACTTGAGAAACCTGTTTTCCTGAAAAATAGTTTTAAGATAAAGATTTTATAAATTTCAACTGAAAACAGAACCAGCTGCTCAGTCAATGAATGCCAAACGTTTCCTTGTATGGAGGCAGCTAATATTACCATTGAATTAAGTGTGTTGACAAGAAAGAAGATTAAATTGGAAAATAAGTATTTAGTGTAAAACAAATGCATTTTTCTTCACCATTAAGCTACACATTTCATACCTACAGATTTTCATTAATATTGTAAAAGGTAAAAAGGGTGCTCACTTGACTCCTGTGGAACGAAATAAAAATACTCAGCAGAAAAGAACACTGGAGAATCAGATGTCTGAAATGATTAGTACATATGCTAGGCTATGACAGCATCCTCAGTAGACCTAGCATAGATACCAGATCCACTAAAAAAAAAAAAAGGACGACATGTAGCAGAAAACCAGCAGCTAATAACACTGGGGCATGGCAAAAAAAGACTACAATATTAAAAGGAAGGTAATACAGATGGCAAAGAAAATCTGTTTTGAAACATTAATATATTCAAATATTAAATAGTTTCAGACATCTGATTCTCCAGTGTTCTTTTCTGCTTAGTATTTTTACTTCATTCCACGGTAAGCACCCTTTTATCTCCATAACCATGCTCAATTTCATTGAGTATTTGGTAACATAATAATTGTGAGTTCAATACCTGGGCTGGGTTGTAAAGATAGACTAAACAGAAACAGTACCAGCAATAACTGAACTATTAACCAAATTAGTTAACCCTAAACAGAGACTGCAGAATAAGAAAAATCTAACCCCACAGATTGTATGAAGTGTTCAGATTGAAGTTCCCTGAAGGTTAGCTGGATCTATAAAAGGCCAGAGGTCATGACAGCCAAAATATTGTGGTTTTAATAACAAAGCTGAGGACATTAGTCCAAATTGCAAATAATGTAAATATTGGCCATCTTTGTTGCAGAATATACAATATTTTTTGATATGAAGAATTACTATTATCTGCTGATTTATTCCGACTATTATTAACAATTTGGTTGTTATATTCCTAATGGTAATGGTTGTTTACCATTTTTCAGGAGCATGTCGTAATTGGTACCCTCTAAAAATTTGGATCTGATCCCTTTATTCAATTCATGAGAGAATATCTTCAGAACTGGACAATGGAATGAGAACAATCAATATCATTGAAGTGAATAAAGGGTTGGGTTGGTTGATTTTATGACATATCAAACCTTGTTGGGTCAGTTAATGTCAAATTTTTGTACGAGGGGACTCAGTGCAGACTGAATTTACTACTTGGTGATAATGATCAGACAAGCCTTAGTCACCATTAACCCATACCAAAGCACCTGGAAATGATTTTGCCATGAAAATACATTGCAAATAATTTTAGGTTCATTTCATGATGTGTCAATCTTTGTTGGGTCATTTAAATCTCAAAATTAGTTGTTTTTTTATATTTGAATCAATAAGAATTTACTTTTGAATAAAGAGCTTGGTTGAAAATTTCTACAAAAAGTAACCAATCATGATGGACAGCTGAATATTGAAGAGCATATCTGCCAATAATTTGTGACCAAGTTAAGGACCCTAGTCTGAGTAAATCATTTTAGAATTCTAGAAATTCAATTATAAAACATCAGAGAAAATAAGACATTTTCCTTCATATTTTAGACAAACAAATCATACTGCAGTATTTAAACAAAGTCATGCAAAATAGTACCATAGTTAATTTGTGTAAACATTAATGGGTAATAAGTAGAAGCCTGTAATTAATACTGGATTTTAATTTTTATAATAGATTTCTTTTTCTTATAAACCTGTAATTAAAACAAAATACCAGATTTTCTTGAAAACTTATAATTAAAAGTGTTAAAAAAAAAAAAAAAAAAAAAAGACACTATAATTAAGACTTGTTTTATGACAATGATAATATTAGCCATTTCCTCATAAGGAAACATTCAACATTTATTGACAAAGCATTTAAGTTTGCTGTTAGTTGAAATTTATAAAATCTTTCTCTGAAAACAATTTTTTTTAGGAAAATATGTTTCTTCCCCACCCAAGTTCATTCACTTTTTTTACTCTTCCCTGGTATTCAGAGGGGATTCTCTTCCTAAAAGTCTACAACTGATATGGTTTCTGCTTTCTGCTATAATTCTTTGTTAAAGTTGTTGAAAATAAAAACTAAAGTCGGCATAACCCATCAGTGACTTACTCTTTCCTCTTCCTCTGCTTTGGCACGAGCTGCTTCCTGGCGAACTCTCTTCTGGGCAAGTTTCTTCTCTTTCTCTTCCTCCTTAAATTTTTGTACACGGGGATCACAGGCATAAGCATTATCTGCAGGCAGGAAAAGCAGGAAAGAAATTAGAATTCAAGGCAGATAAAAAAAAAAAAAAAAAAAGAAGAGTCAGGATAAGTGGAAAGGAAAAAAGAAGTGCTACCATATGGCAAAGACTTCTTAATTTCTGAAGACAAAAGGAGAAATAATTATACATACAAGCAAAACATTTTCCTAGGTACTGAGGTACCTGTCATTTATCTGATAGCAAAATTTAATTCAAATTGTTTGTCCATTTAAAATATTACATTTATTAGAAAATATAGCCCACTTAAAGACTGAAGGAGTCATAAAAAAAAACTTCAAAACGGACACACATTTTGGCTTATACTATTTTTCTGTTACCCAAATATTATCAAACTGAAAGGTGTAGCAATACAATTTCTCATACAGCCTTAGGAGATAAAAGGATAAAGAATCTATCTATTTAAGTAAATTTAATGACCAGGTTTTCTTAGGAAACTTTGTCTCCAACCTGTCTTTGAAATGGCAAACATAAAATTTTGTTAGTGACTTTAGATAATCATAAAAGTATAGTCCTTTGAAAAACTGACCACCAAAAAGCTGAATGAGTGGTCTTCTTTTCCAGAACACAAGTGGACGGATAGGGGTGGTAGGACCCCAGCCAGTGTCCATATTATATGTCAGAAAGTAAGCAGTCAGTGTGGGAAGGAACAACAGTAAATCAGCAGTCAATGAGACAGTC